CGGTACGATTGCACCTACGGAATGGTTAAGTTAATTTCCTTCATACTCCAACACTCCCCATCATTAGCAGCAGTATCGGAGCAGCCCATGTCAAGGGCAGGAAGGTCAACAGTCGCAAAGGTCAAGTGCCGCGACTGTTGACCATCTGGACCGATTGACTCACCATCGAGGAATGGCAACAGGCGAAACCATCTGTACGGTTACACGCAGCGACTCGGTAACAAATATGAATAGCAATAGCCAGACTCACTGTAGAAATGCCAGTGAAACAGTTAGAATAAGGGAATGTACCACTTAGAGTACATGGCTAGCTTGATCTATTTATTGCTTGTACTTTATCATTTTTATGAATCTTGTCATTTACATTCACTATGCACAAGGTTCCTACCACAAGTCTTCCGCTACAATATCCTCACTCTAGCAATATGTATTGGCCAAGTCTACTAAAATGGTTGCAGATTTATTTAGATGAAAAGGTATTTCGAACTACAAACAAACCTCTGCTTAAACCAACTTTCTGTAAGCAACTCCTTAAGTCACAAATTTCTATCTAGGGTTGCATCGTACGATCAAATGTTATCGCGATACAGGGCAGTTGACTGTTGGTGAGAGAGGCATGACCATCTTGCATAGATTTGCTGTGTTCTATGATTGTTAAGGATTTTGAAATGACCAAATGTAAATATTTGGCCTTGAATGCGACCGGTTATAGGATTCCCCTTCGTTTGCCTTAAAAGCGGTTTTGACTGTACACATGTTTGTGTCTGTTTGTACAGCTGTGATTACTGTACTAATGCCAACTCGCAAGTTGTCGTTAGCGCGGGTTTGGAACATATGCTCCAGAACACCACCCTCCCCAGCGTCCAGTTCACTGTAGGTGAACCCCAAAGTTTTGTTAGGACGTGTTGCAGTTAGCCTCTGATAGGGAAATTCCACCTGATCGGATCGGATCGGATCGGTGTAGCTTGAGCGGGACTAAATATTTTGATGTAGCCGCGCGATCAAGCCGACAATTTCGACAAGTGCGAAAGCTGCAGGCACGATTTCCCTGGCATCAACGAAGTCCCTTTTTTGGGTGAGGTGGCGACATCCCGCGAAATAGCCTTAGAATTTATTATAGAGTAGAACAGTACAAATCGTGGATCTCACACCTACATTTCGTAGAGCACTGTAGAAGCGAGTTTGGGCGAAGATTGTTACTTCTTCTTCGTCATAAGGTACCACTCACACCCAATCCGCTGATCGCAATCTCACGCAATTGATTACGTGTGATCGAGGTGATCAATAGGGTTTGATCGGGGACCTGATCGCAAAAAAGTGATTGCCCCTGAATGACCCCGAAACCCAATGTTTCTCCAGGAACTGGCTCTTCGCATCCGACCGCGGCAATCTCGCGCAATCAGAGGCAAACTGCACCACGTCTTTTTTCTCTCTCTGTGTGTGTGTGTGTGTGTGTGTGTGTGTCTGTGTGTGTGTGTGTGCATGTGCGCGCGCGCGTGTGTGTGTGTGTGTGTGTGTGCATGTGTGTGTGTGTGTGTTTGTGTGTGTGTGTGTGTGTGTGTGTGTGTTTGTGTGTGTGTGTGTGTGTGTGTGTGTTTGTGTGTGTGTGTGTGTGTACGTTTTTTTTTCGCAAGTCCTTGTTCGGAATGATAACCCTGGCCAAGCACGGCTGCAGTACGATCTATGGCAACCGACACTGGTCGCAATTGTGGTTTGGGGAGCCAGGTCCTTGCCTCAGCTGTGTTGGCTTGGGAGTTTATGTGTAACCTGGTTTGCGTGTTGAGATGGGGAAGCCTGCGGTCGAGGCAACGGAACAAGGCCGAAATTCTGTGACCACAGGTGACAGGTCACTGCCACTGCAGTGAATGCGACTGGAAAAGTCGATGTGTGTACTGTACAGGCACTGCCGCGAGGTGCTCGGGGGATAAGGAGCGTGAGAAAGTACTGTAGAACCTCTTTCTTAAAAATTCATGCTGTTGTGCCCACCAGAACATTTTGTTATGTACAGCGCAGAGATCGATTTTGTGAACATTTGCTAAGACCTGCTCCACACCATTCCTGGAGACGCACGTAACGTTCCAGCGCTCTGCACGTTATGTGCAGCTGCCCGCCGTACAGCTTGGTTTGGAAGGCACTGCATTGGGTGAGTGCCTTTGCCAACCACAGTCAGTAGTTTGCTAGTTGTGAGTCTGGCTGGACCACATAAAAATTCCAGGACTGTCTGTGTGTCTAGCCACACAACTTTTCTGTGGTAGAGTCATAGCTCGACGTACTACTAGGAAATTACGGAGTTGTGATGAAGTCTTAGTAGCAGCAACACAGGAGCAACAGCTGCAGCAATAGCAGCAGCAGTTCCCGTAACATCGCTGCTTCGGTATCCGCGACATGTCGATTCGCATCACCCTCACTGTCCGCATAACCATCGCCGCCATTGTCGCCCTTGCGGTGGTTTCGCCGCTGCTTCCCTTACTGCCAGGAACCCATGCGGCCAGGGTCAAATCCTCTCAATGTACGAATTTTCAATCCATTTCGGCGTTCCAATTTATGAGATCTGGGATGCTGCCAGGCACATTGGTGGTTGTTGAGGCGTATCTCATAGGCCGCTTCTGTGAATAGAGGAGTGGAGGGAGGGAGGGAGGGAGGGAGGGAGGGAGGGAGGGAGGGAGGGAGGGAGGGAGGGAGGGAGGGAGGGAGGGAGGGAGGGAGGGAGGGAGGGAGGGAGGGAGGGAGGGAGGGAGGGAGGGAGGGAGGGAGGGAGGGAGGGAGGGAGGGAGGGAGGGAGGGAGGGAGGGAGGGAGGGAGGGAGGGAGGGAGGGAGGGAGGGAGGGAGGGAGGGAGGGAGGGAGGAGGGAGGGAGGGAGGGAGGGAGGGAGGGAGGGAGGGAGGGAGGGAGGGAGGGAGGGAGGGAGGGAGGAGGGAGGGAGGGAGGGAGGGAGGGAGGGAGGGAGGGAGGGAGGGAGGGAGGGAGGGAGGGAGGGAGGGAGGGAGGGAGGGAGGGAGGGAGGGAGGGAGGGAGGGAGGGAGGGAGGGAGGGAGGGAGGGAGGGAGGGAGGGAGGGAGGGAGGGAGGGAGGGAGGAGGGGGAAGCTTTATGGGGAGGGACGGAGAGGGTACGGAGTGACGGAAAGGGCCCTTCCGGGAGGAAATTCTCACCTCAGGTCGAAACCCATATGAAGTCAAAGCGCACCTCCTCTGTGCACAACGTCAACAGAATTTTGCTGCAGCGAAAAGGGACACAGAGGCTAGGAATGACCGAGTGACACTGCTTTCTGCGGAATGACCATATTGTGAACTTACCGATCTACACCAGTTCTGCAAAGCAGCACACAGGCAAATTTACGGCCTCCTCTTCTGAAGAAAGCCTCGTTGGTTATCAGGACCCAATACGGGGCAAGCAAACCAGCCACATGGAAGGCTCATCGATGAAATGGCTCAGCACTGAAACGGCTCAGCACTGAAACGGCTCAGCACTGAAACGGCTCAGCACTGAAACGGCTCAGCACTGAAACGGCTCAGCGCTGAAACGGCTCAGCGCTGAAACGGCGCAGCACTGAAACGGCTCAGCACTGAAACGGCTCAGCACTGAAACGGCTCAGCACTGAAACGGCTCAGCACTGAAACGACTCGGCACTGAAACAGCTCGTCACTGAAACGGCTCGGCACTGAAACGGCTTGGCACTGAATGATCAGCACTGAAACAACGGCCAGGCTCAGCACTGAAGCGACGGCCCAGCACTGAAAGGGCTGAGCAATGGAACGGCTCGGCATTGAAATAGCCTGGGCATTGAAACAGCTCGGCACTGAAATGGCTCAGCTCTGTAACGGCTCAGCACTGAAACGGCTCAGCAATGAAACGGCTCGACACTGAAACGGCTTGGCACTGAAACGGCTCCACACTGAAACGGCCCGGCATTGAAACGGCTCGGCGCTGAAACGACTCAGCATTGAAACGGCTCGGCTCTGAAACGGCTGAGCACTAAAATGATCAGCACTGAAACAACGGCCAGGCTCAGCACTGAAGCGACGGCCCAGCACTGAAAGGGCTGAGAAATGCAATGGCTCGGCACTGAGACGTCCTGGGCATTGAAACGGCTCAGCACTTAAATGGCTCAGCGCTGAAACGGCTCAGCACTGAAACGGCTCAGCACTGAAAAGGCTCAGCACTGAAACGGCTCAGAAATGAAACGGCTCGGCACTGAAACGGCTCGGCACTGAAACGGCTCGGCACAGAAACGGCTCGGCACTGAAACGGCTCAGCACTGAAACGGCTCGGCTCTGAAACGGCTGAGCAATGAAATGATCAGCACTGAAACAACGGCCAGGCTCAGCACTGAAATTTCTCAAATCAGAAACGGCTCGGCACTGGAACGGCTTGGCACTGAAACGGAGCAATCAAATGGCTTGGGGGTTGCCTTGGGGGTAATGCTAACGGTGGACCACCATAGAATCCTGGGTCACTGTCGTCAAGGTCGGCTGCCCCATGACCAAGAACAGAGATAGGTTGACCATCAAACCAGCAGGGCTGACTGCAGAGGAAGCAGCATGAAAGAGGTAGTAGAGGGCGTATGCCTCATGGCCGGATCACGTTCCTCCCCTTCCCTTCCCCCTCGCCATCTTCCGACGTCAGGGTCGGTCCTCCAAGCGCTGAAGCTCGAGTGGGGTGGGTTCAGTGGCAGTGAGACGTGGTCATCTGGGAACGACTGTGGCAGCATGGTGGGCGTTACCTGCACTAGCCAGGGCGACATCATTTCCATGTGAGTTGAGACTCTCGGACGTCCTGTTCTGCTGCCCAAAGCACACAGAGGCGCTGGGTTCAGTGGCAGTGAGACGTCCTGTGCTGCTGCCTAAAGCACATAGAGGCGATGTGCCGATCGAGGCACTGTATTAATGGTTGCACTAGCTATGCAACTATTGCCATGTGGGCTGATTGAGTGCTGAGCTGATCCTCTATAGACGGCCTCTTGAGTTGGGTCATTTTGAAAGAGCTGCACTAGCCTTGGGTCATCTTCTTGAGTTCTGGATTTCCCCCACATGCTCCATGTGCCCCCTCATGTGCCCCACATGCCCCACGTACCTCGCGTGTCCCACTTGGCCCATATGTCCCAGGTGCTCCACATGTCCCACTTGACCCATATGTCCCACGTGCTCCACATGTCCCACTTGACCCATATGTCCCACGTGCTCCACATGTCCCACTTGACCCATATGTCCCACGTGCTCCACATGTCCCACTTGACCCATATGTCCCACGTGCTCCACATGTCCCACTTGACCCATGTGTCCGACGTGCTCCACATGTCCCACTTGACCCATATGTCCGACGTGCTCCACATGTCCCACTTGACCCATATGTCCCAGGTGCTCCACATGTCCCACTTGACCCATATGTCCCACGTGCTCCACATGTCCCACTTGACCCATATGTCATATGTCCCACGTGCTCCAAGTGTCCCACTTGACCCATATGTCATATGTCCCACGCGCTCCAATTGTCCCGCTTGACCCGTATGTCCCACGCGCTCCACGTGTCCCGCTTGACCCGTATGTCCCACGCGCTCCACGTGTCCCGCTTGACCCGTATGTCCCACGCGCTCCACGTGTCCCGCTTGACCCGTATGTCCCACGCGCTCCACGTGTCCCGCTTGACCCGTATGTCCCACGCGCTCCACGTGTCCCGCTTGACCCGTATGTCCCACGCGCTCCACGTGTCCCGCTTGACCCGTATGTCCCACGCGCTCCACGTGTCCCGCTTGACCCGTATGTCCCACGCGCTCCACGTGTCCCGCTTGACCCGTATGTCCCACGCGCTCCACGTGTCCCGCTTGACCCGTATGTCCCACGCGCTCCACGTGTCCCGCTTGACCCGTATGTCCCACGCGCTCCACGTGTCCCGCTTGACCCGTATGTCCCACGCGCTCCACGTGTCCCGCTTGACCCGTATGTCCCACGCGCTCCACGTGTCCCGCTTGACCCGTATGTCCCACGCGCTCCACGTGTCCCGCTTGACCCGTATGTCCCACGCGCTCCACGTGTCCCGCTTGACCCGTATGTCCCACGCGCTCCACGTGTCCCGCTTGACCCGTATGTCCCACGCGCTCCACGTGTCCCGCTTGACCCGTATGTCCCACGCGCTCCACGTGTCCCGCTTGACCCGTATGTCCCACGCGCTCCACGTGTCCCGCTTGACCCGTATGTCCCACGCGCTCCACGTGTCCCGCTTGACCCGTATGTCCCACGCGCTCCACGTGTCCCGCTTGACCCGTATGTCCCACGCGCTCCACGTGTCCCGCTTGACCCGTATGTCCCACGCGCTCCACGTGTCCCGCTTGACCCGTATGTCCCACGCGCTCCACGTGTCCCGCTTGACCCGTATGTCCCACGCGCTCCACGTGTCCCGCTTGACCCGTATGTCCCACGCGCTCCACGTGTCCCGCTTGACCCGTATGTCCCACGCGCTCCACGTGTCCCGCTTGACCCGTATGTCCCACGCGCTCCACGTGTCCCGCTTGACCCATATGGCCCATGTGCTGCCCATGCCCCATGTGCCCACATGCCCCATGTGCTCCACATGCCCCATCTGCTCCACATGCCCACATGTCCCATGTGCCCTCATAGGGACCTGTCCAACGCGGGTCTCAAGGGCAGCATATTGACCAGCATTGGCACCCTTTCGGTGCTGAGCTTCCTGTGAGTGGGTAAACTCAACCCACTGCTGTGCTGTGACCGTGTTTTGAGTCAATGTAAAAGAAGCTGGGCGTTTTGTGAGTTCATGCCATGCCTGTGTTGCCTCGTACGCACAGTCCACAGGTGGCTGGGTGCCTGGCTGTGTGACTATCGGTGGATATCATGACCATTAGATGGGCCAAAGCCGGCCCGTCTGGGCCTGACTTGGGCTGGCCTGGTGCCGCACCTTGTCTGTCTGTGCCGCACCTTGTCTGCACCGTATCGTTTCTGTGCTATATCAAATCTTTGCTGCAAAATATCTTTACTACATCAACGCTGTGAGGCATCAACTCTGTGCCACCCATCTTGTACCGCATTCCACGTGTCCCTTCTCTTCACTTGTAGATCCCACATCTGTCTTTCTTCGTCGCTTACCTCTTCACTTTTTTCCTTCACCCCTACATCTCCTCTCCCCTAACCTGTCACCTCCATCCATCACTATGCCGCCAGAACTGCCACACCCTCCTTTTCCCACCAGCTCCCATCCCATCCGCCTCTTCCCTCTCACGTCAACTTATACCAACACTTACGACTCCCTCTTCCTTCTTCCCTTGCCTGTCCTTTTCTTCCCGCTTAATCCGCCAACCAACTCCCATACACTTCCTCGCCGCCCTCCCCTGCCACTCGTCTCCACCCCTCTCACAGGACCATGGAGAAAGTTGTTTTGAGGCGACGTAAAATACATCTCTCCTCTTCCTACTGCACCGCACGCGCAGGAATCTGGCAGGGAACAAGCTGACAGGCTCCGTCCCACCATACTTCGCCAACCCTTTTGTTCTGAATGAGATGTGAGGGTTGGCGATGTTAGCTGGAAGAGGGTTTTTCTTTAGGAGGTGTAACAGGGGATGGTTATGGCATGGCCAGTGCGCGTCTCTCAATGGTTGTAGACGTGACAGGGCGATGTGAACGGATGGACGGGTGAATGAATTGACAGACGTATGGATGGGTGGATGGATGGATGGATGGATGGATGGATGGATGGATGGTTGGTTGGATGGATGGATGGATGGATGGATGGATGGATGGACGGATGGATGGAGAATTGGAAAATAGATGGACTGATGCATGAGGAGGCCATGGCCTTCCATAGGTGTGTGCAAGGCTTGAACTATCATTGTGCTCATGACGTGATGGTGAAAAATCATTGTGCTCATGATGTGATGGTGAACTATCAGTGTGCTCATGATGTGATGGTGAACAATCATTGTGCTCATGACGTGATGATGAACATTCATTGTGCTCATGACGTGATGGTGAACAATCATTGTGCTCATGATGTGATGGTGAACAATCATTGTGCTCATGACGTGATGGTGAACAATCATTGTGCTCATGACGTGATGGTGAACTATCAGTGTGCTCATGACGTGATGGTGAACTATCAGTGTGCTCATGACGTGATGATGAACATTCATTGTGCTCATGACGTGATGGTGAACAATCATTGTGCTCATGACGTGATGGTGAACAATCATTGTGCTCATGACGTGATGATGAACATTCATTGTGCTCATGACGTGATGGTGAACAATCATTGTGCTCATGACGTGATGGTGAACTATCATTGTGCTCATGACGTGATGGTGAACAATCATTGTGCTCATGACGTGATGGTGAACAATCATTGTGCTCATGACGTGATGGTGAACAATCATTGTGCTCATGACGTGATGGTGAACTATCATTGTGCTCATGACGTGATGGTGAACAATCATTGTGCTCATGACGTGATGGTGAACAATCATTGTGCTCATGACGTGATGGTGAACTATCATTGTGCTCATGACGTGATGGTGAACAATCATTGTGCTCATGACGTGATGGTGGACTGATGGAAGATGGAACATGCAATCCCCTCTTTCTCCTATGCTTTCTACTTCTCCCGTCTTTGATGAATGGTGTTGTTGGGCCACTACTTTCGTTGATGATTGATGTCATGATCGCATTTGCTGATATCATGCCCAGATCAGCTGACGTCATGCTTGCATGATGATAATGCCCTTGACTTTGAGGTGACACCAACCCACCGCCATGCTGATCTCGCATATGTTACAAGGGGAGGGTTGGAGAAGTGTTTGCATATTGCTGAGGGTTGCGGGCCTCAATGGCTAGTTGGGTGGGTGGGACTGCTTCCATGCGTGCATGTATGCAGAAACCTCGGGGACAACCAGCTCAGTGGCTCCATTCCTGCAAGCCTCGAATCTCTTGGAAACTTGATGCGCCTGTGAGTGTAATGATTGCGAGCACAATAGCCTTATGGTTGCATGGACGTCAATCCCCTTCTGCGTCTGCTTTTTCAGTCTGTTGTACAGGCACTCTAAGCTCACAGGCACTCACTCAACTGATCTCATCCCCATAACTATCAATGTTCTCCGTTCATATGCATAACCTTGTGTCACACATCAGTGCCATGTCACATCGCACGTTTGCCACACATGTACCACCCCCTGGTAATAATTTCCCGAGCCTAATATATTTGTTTCCCAGTGATTACAACATAATCTTTATGTTTTATGATTGGCTTACCTATGAAACCATGTCACAATGTGTTTATTCATCACCCAACCATATTTTCCTCCTACCACCAAAGAACGCCTCTCTTCATAACGCCCATGTATGCTCTTCTCTGTTGCTCCTATCCTCTGCCCATGTTTCTCCGTTCTCCTCGCCTCGCCATCTCCTTACATAACATCTCTCACTTTCCCCTCCCCTCCCCATTCTCAGGCGTTCCATTTTACCCCCTCCCCCTCTATCCATCCAGCCATCCCCCCCCCCCCCCCCCCCCTCCGCCCTACCACCCTCCCCCCCCTTCCCCCCCCCACCCCCCACACCCCCTCCTCCCGCCCGTCCCTCCCCCCTTCTTGCCTACACCACCGCCACCCATTCATGTACCCTCGCTAACCCTCTCTCTCTCACCTACTCACTTTCTCTCTCCCTCTCACATGGCATCAGCCGGCTGAACAACAACCAGCTCACAGGGTCCATTCCAGATGGCATGATGACACTCATGATCAACCTCAAAGTCCTGTAACAACACCCCTCCAACTCTTAGCCGTTCCATGCTGCATGGCTCTGACGTTGGAGTCGTCTTGGAAACAGTCCCATTGCCATGCCCCACCCCACATGAGTTTTGCTTCTGCCCAGATTCCATTGCCACTCCCACCCCACTCCAAAAAGCTTTGAATCACAATACATGTGACTCGTCACGTCACTTGTACGTATCCCATTTACTTGTATCCCTTCTTGTCTTTTCACCTTCTCCCCTTTTTTTATATCTCTTCGCTTCGCCCCAACCCCTTCACCTCCATCCATCTCTTTGCCACCAGAACCACCGCAGCTTCTTCTCCCCAACTCCATCCACCTCTGCAAGCTCATATCAACTTTACCACCTCCTAAACGAAATGGTCTCAACCATCACTCACTATTCACCATAATTCCCATTTTCTCGATCCCTGCCCTCTTCCTTCCCTTCGTCCCCTCCAACAAGATCATGGGAAAGCTGCTTTTGAGTTGACTAAAAAATGCAGCTCTCCTTCCATTTCACCATCTGCACAGGAACCTGGGAAAGAATAAGCTCACAGGCCCTCTTCCAGTATTCTTCGCCAACCCTGGTGCTCTGAATGAGATGTGAGGAGACAAAGAAAAGGTGTTGTTATAGGACTTGGTTGAAAGTATGCCCTCTGGAAGCAGGGATTATCGTAAAGAGACAACAAATGTACTCCTCTCACATCATGCTGACGACATGGTTGCATCGTGCTGACGACACGGTTGCATTATGTTAAAGTCATGCTTGCATCATGCTGCTGTCCTTCTTGTACAATGATGACGCTCTTGAGTTTAGAGTGACATCAAGCTGACGTCATATATTGGTTTTGTTACAATGGGTGGGTTGGATTGGGGTGATATATGCCTATTCTTGAAGGGCCTCATATGTGTTTTGAGGCGACTCAAAACGCACCTATTTCTGGCGCGCCTCATAATGGCTGGTTGGGTGGGAAACATGCACTCATGCGTGCATGCATGCATGCAGGAATATCGGAGACAACCAGCTCAGCGGCTCCATCCCTGCAAACTACAATATTCTTACTGGCTTGACACGCCTGTGAGTGGAGTACACGGGGGTGAGTGTTGTGTTCTCTGTATGATAGTAGTCCCATAGTTGCATGTACGTCAATCCACTCTTTCAGGCACTCAGTAGTTATTCATCACTAGTGAATAGCTCTGTTAGTATGTATTGCCTAGTTTCATGCATCATTGCAATCTCGTATCCCATGTGTACTCCACATATACCACCTCCCGTACCACCTCCCGTACCACCCCCGTACCACCTCCTACCAATGCATGTGCCACTTCCTTCACCATCTCGCCGTACCAACCCCCGTACCACCTCCCATACCACCTCCCGCACCACCTCTCGTGCCACGACCCGTGCCACCTCCCATGCCACCCCACATAGTCTTTATATTCTTCTTTATTTCTTTAAGGTAGAGAGCATATTTTTCTCCACCATGCCGTACTGTGTTTATCCATAACATCACCATACATTCCTTCCTGTCACCAAAGAACAGTTCTCTTTTGAAACGACTTTTGAGGTGCCTCAAAAGTCCTTCCTGTCACCAAAGAACGGTTCTCTTCCAAAAGGTTTCCCTTCCTCTTCATCTATGCCCGACTTTGTTGTTCCTGCTATCCATTCTTCTTTGTTCCCTATCATTTCCCGTGTTTCTCTTGCTCCCCTTGCCTTACCATCTCCTTATCTGACATCCCTCACTCTTCGATTCCCTCGTCCCCCTCTCCTGCCTATCCATCCTTGCATTTTACCCTCTTCCTCCCTATCTATGCACCATCCACCTCTCCCATTTCAATATTACTCTTTCCCCTTCCCTCCCCCCTCCCTCCCCCCTCCCTCTCCCACCCCCAACCCCCTCCGGGCCACCACATGACGTCAGTCAGCTGAACAACAACCAGCTCGCAGGCTCCATTCCAGAGGACGTGCTTTCAGTCATGACCAATCTTAAACACCTGTAAAAACACCACCTTCCCAATTACTTGCCGTTCCATGCTGCATGCCTCTGAATTTTGAGTCGACTCAGATGTTCTGACTTTCTTCGGTTCCATTTTGTGGGTACAAATTGAAACCGGATGGCCCACACGAGTCTCGTTTCTCCCTGGATGCCGTTGCCAATGCCACTTCCACTTTTGAGTCGAATCAAATGCCTGGATGCCGTTGCCATGCCACTTCCATCCACTTTTGAGTCGACTCAAATGCCTGGATGCCGTTGCCATGCCACTTCCATCCACTTTTGAGTCGACTCAAATGCATGGATGCCGTTGCCATGCCACTTCCATCCACTTTTGAGTCGACTCAAATGCCTGGATGCCGTTGCCATGCCACTTCCATCCACTTTTGAGTCGACACAAATGCCTGGATGCCGTTGCCATGCCACTTCCATCCACTTTTGAGTCGACTCAAATGCCTGGATGCTGTTGCCATGCCACTTCCATCCACTTTTGAGTCGACTCAAAAGCCTGGATGCCGTTGCCATGCCACTTCCACTTTTGAGTCGACTCAAATGCCTGGATGCCGTTGCCATTGCCACTTCCACCTCCTTCCAAGAAGCATTTGTATTCCTCTTGTGTGCAACCACATTCGTTTTCCTGACCTCCCCACGTTCCCCTAAAATCCCTACTCACTGTAACCAACTTGCCTCCCATACCCTACTCAACCCCACTCTCCTCAACCCCCCTCTTCCACTCCCTACCCTCTTCCCCTCCATCCATCGCAGTCTTCTCAATGGCAACCAGTTCACGGGTTCAATTCCTGGAAAAATCAGCAAACTGCAACTCCTTTCAGAACTGTAGGGCTCTGATACCACCTTTTCCATACCCATACTGGTCCACACCTATGCCCATATCCATACCCACACCCATACCCGTACGCATACCCATACCCATACCCATACCCATACCCATACCCATACCCATACCCATACCCATACCCATACCCATACCCATACCCATACCCATACCCATACCCATACCCATACCCATACCCATACCCATACCCATACCCATACCCATACCCATACCCATACCCATACCCATACCCATACCCATACCCATACCCATACCAATAGCGTGTTCGGGGCGAACATGTTCGGTGTTCGGCCGAATATGTCCACCGTTCGCCAATGACTTTTGGCGAAGGGTATTCAACACGAACGCGTTCGTGTTCGAATTGGGGGCCCCGCGAACACCAGAGTGTTCGCGTCGAAATTGGCCGCGACCAAATTTAGGTCGCGGGCGTTTTGAGTTTGAGCTCATTTCGTGAGCTCAAACTCAAAACGCCTTTAGCGCTTAGCCATCCCACACACAACCGCCATAGCCCCACGCTTTTAATAGCCTCGCACACCGTTCCTAAACATCTACACGGACATTTCATCTAGGTTAGTCCGTAGTATAGGGTGTTTTCGTTAACATTAAGGTTGAGTAGCGTAGGGATCAAGCACCAAGCGGTCAAAGCTCTAGTTGTACGGACGGGCATTTCCGTAGGAATTTATTTGACGTTGACATTTTGTGTCACCAAACATGATGGTGTTGTAGTTCCGGGTGCGTTGCATGAACACTTATACACCCTGCAACCCCCTTTCTATCATCCTGACCCTTCATATCCCCTTTCTGACCTCTGTGACTATAGCGAATTTGCCCAGCAGGCGAACTCGAACATGTTCGACTCGAACATGTTCGAGTTTGCCTGCTGCAAAAATTCGTTCGCCCCCAAGGGCGAACGCCGAACACCTGTTTCCGCCCAAATCATTCGCCGAACCGAACACTGTTCGGTTCGGTAGTTCGCGTTGTTCGATAGGGGGTGAACCCGAACATGTTCGAGTTCGCCCTCTGCTCATCCCCTAACCTATACCAGTAACCATACCCATACCCAAAACCATACCCATGCCCATACCCAACCCATATCTCAGGATGGTGAACAGGCGAACACAAACATGTTCGCCCCAACCACTCTCGAACACAAACATGTTCCCCTCAACCACTTGCTGTGTGCGGCAATGCATGAATGTTCCATTCAAGGTGCTTGACCTTCACTGCCTGCTTCTCAGGTCTGTGGGCAACAACCTCTTGACAAACACCATACCGGTTTTAACCGCACTCACCGATCTCTTCTCTCTGTGAGCACAATACTCGATATCTACCATCTGTGAGCTCTTCTCCTTGCTGCGGCACCCTGCTGTGCCCTCATTCTTTGCCATGCCATGTCATGTCATGCCTCATGCCATGCAATGGCACGTCTTCTAATGCCACGTGCCTTACCATGCCATGCCTTTCCTTTCCATGCCATGCCTTACCATGCCATGCCTTTCCTTTCCATGCCATACCTTACCATGCTATGCCTTTCCTTTCCATGCCATGCCTTACCATGCCATGCATTGCAATGCCATGCGTCCTGCCCAATGCTAGACACTAGCCCTCCCCTACCGCCCCCTACCCCTTGTCGCTCCTCTTCCACCACCCGTTCATCTCTGCACTCCTGTCTGCCTGCATCCGCCGGCTGCCACTCCACCCACTCGCCCTCCACCCGTTCTTGCCGTCCACTTCGTTCTTGCCGTCCACTTCGTTCTTGCCGTCCACTTCGTTCTTGCCGTCCACTTCGTTCTTGCTATCCTTCAGCAACCACTGCGGTGGCTGCTCTCCCTTGCTTCTCTCCTCTCCTCTCCTCTCCTGCCAAGCAACATCCTTTGCTGTGTTTGATGATTCGAAGCCAATTTATCCTCCCCTCCTGCCATTTCTTGCACCACACCCAACGTGGATATTCTTGTCAACACCAGAGACTTGGGAAAGAACAGCTTTACAGGACCTATTTCCTCAGAACTAGCTAATTTGAAAAAGTTGCAATATTTGTAAGTTTACCAACTGCACAGCACTCTCTCCCGTCACCATTACAGCACTCCCATCACCTCCAGTGCACTCCCATCACCTCCAGTGCACTCCCATCACCTCCAGTGCACTCCCATCACCTCCAGTGCACTCCCATCACCTCCAGTGCACTCCCATCACCTCCAGTGCACTCCCATCACCTCCAGTGCACTCCCATCACCTCCAGTGCACTCCCATCACCTCCAGTGCACTCCCATCACCTCCAGTGCACTCCCATCACCTCCAGTGCACTCCCATCACCTCCAGTGCACTCCCATCACCTCCAGTGCACTCCCATCACCTCCAGTGCACTCCCATCACCTCCAGTGCACTCCCATCACCTCCAGTGCACTCCCATCACCTCCAGTGCACTCCCATCACCTCCAGTGCACTCCCATCACCTCCAGTGCACTCCCATCACCTCCAGTGCACTCCCATCACCTCCAGTGCACTCCCATCACCTCCAGTGCACTCCCATCACCTCCAGTGCACTCCCATCACCTCCAGTGCACTCCCATCACCTCCAGTGCACTCCCATCACCTCCAGTGCACTCCCATCACCTCCAGTGCACTCCCATCACCTCCAGTGCACTCCCATCACCTCCAGTGCACTCCCATCACCTCCAGTGCACTCCCATCACCTCCAGTGCACTCCCATCACCTCCAGTGCACTCCCATCACCTCCAGTGCACTCCCATCACCTCCAGTGCACTCCCATCACCTCCAGTGCACTCCCATCACCTCCGGTGCACTCCCATCACCTCCAGTGCACTCCCATCACCTCCGGTGCACTCCCATCACCTCCAGTGCACTCCCATCACCTCCAGTGCACTCCCATCACCTCCAGTGCACTCCCATCACCTCCAGTGCACTCCCATCACCTCCAGTGCACTCCCATCACCTCCAGTGCTCTCCCCTTACCCCTCCGCGTCACCCTTACGAACTCTGGTCGTTCTCCCCTCCGTGTTGCCTCCACCAATCTTTCTGTCCATTCAAAGCCCCCACAGTTCTGTGGCTACTGCATTCCCCCTAGTACTGTGTGCCTGTGTGAACAATGCATGGTCACTTCTGTTCCCTCCATGCCTATTCTGATTTGGCTTCTCTAGCGGAAAACTAGTTGTTGCAAGCATGGTAAAGCTGACCATACTGTGAACTCAAAACTCTCCCTGCATTCATTTTTAGTCGCATGCGGACCAATGGTTGCCCTTTCTTAACCATGCAGATACCTTAATGATAACCAGTTTTCTGGATCTGTCCCCTTTGAGCTAGTTGTGCTGACAAACCTCAAGGAAGTGTGAGTCACACGACATACCCATAGCCAGTGACAATGCTGTTGAGAGGTAAAGTAAAAAGACAGAGCGGAGAGGCAGACAGAGCGGTAGAGCAAAACGGCAGAGCAAAGAGGCAGACAGAATGGCAGAGCAGGGAGGTGGAGCAGAGCGGCAGAGCAGGGAGGCCGAGCATTGGCTGCAGGGATGCTGACCATGTCAGGTAAATATGCCCACCTGTTTTGTAAGTCCTTCCAATTTTTCCCCTTGCTTTTCTGCAGCGCCTTTGCCTCGTTTCTCGCTCGCCGCCCTCTCTTTCCCCCGTCCCACTACCCCATCCTTTACCTCTGTTAACGTCTCCTCCTTCCTCATCTTTCATCCTGCCATCATTGCACCAACTTCTTGTGCCCCATAGGTTACCAGCCAACAACCACCTATCAGTTTAATTTTCGATTTTCCTTTTGTGCTTACATATACCTACAACCTCCATTGTTCCCCCCTGTTTTAGTGATTTGCTCCCTCGCCAATGTTTGAGGCAACTAGAAGATCTTCTCTACTAATTTGCTTCAACGCCATTCCTCGATAGGTCAATAGCCAACAACCTCCTTTTGTCAGGCGGCGTGAACATGCTAATATCTACCTTCACTACCGTCAATGTGCTGTGAGTTTGCTCTTGCTTTGACTCCTCTGATGACGAGAAATGGCCCCGCCCCCGTTTGGGCGAAGCCGACTTCGTGGTCGAGTACCTGTGAAGCGTAGCCGGCTGCAGTCAGTAATCGACGCCGATTTGGGCGAGGAAGTCGACAGCCTTGTTCGACTTCCACAAAACCATTGCGAAGCCACTGAGGAAGGGAAGTCGGCGTTCGGCTTCGGCTAGGGCGGTTGACGAAGGGTCAGTGCAGGGAGACGCTACCTGGTCGACAGAGTAACCGGGGTGCGCGGACGTCGCCTAGGTGACTTTGGCGAAGTCGACATGCGGGCTGGTATTCCGAGGTCAATGTGACACATCTGGCGCAACTGTCGGCACATGGCTGATTTGTCACCTGCGCGACGACACACAACGTGCACGACTGTCAACTCGCACTTGCGATAGTTACTTGCAGCTGGCAGGCCGCTTTGCTGCGGCGTTGACAAGCCGCCTTGGTGCAGCACTGGCAGACCGTCGACTTGCAACGTTGGCAAGCCGCCTCTCAACCATGTTGGCATACTGTCAGCTTGCAGTGCTGGCAAGTCGCCCCTCTCCTGCACTTGAGGTTGACCTGTCTATGCGCTTAGTCGCCTTGCATCTGATGTAGTCAGTTTGCCATTATCATTCCTATCATTGTTGACCATTGTGTAATTCCAACTTCGCAAGTGAAGCTCTTGCCAACTCTCTTTAAGAACACGCAAGTAGTGAATGCACGAGCAGATACTACGATCACGCGTACCACCAATGACTTTTCTTGTAGTCTAGCTCCCGGTGCAGAGTGAATGTCCACATGATGCAGTGAGCGTGGACGACCCCGCAGATTACCTTTACATAGTAGCTGTGTTAGGCCAACTTACCACTTACCTAAGTTATTGTTAGGCCGGCAGCCGTGTAGACCATGGTGCCCACCCCAGGAGATGCTGCAGTCGTAAAGGATACCCTACAAACACAAAAGGCCGATGTTCAGCGACGCTACGCAGCTGGAGAGTACGGTGATGCGGACCTGGGATGACGCTCCTAGGAACCCGCGCCGCATGGGCGCACGAGCATCCCCCGTCCCGTGCTGAAGCTGACGGTCCGTCTGCCTCACCCCGACCTGAGCCCAATGAAGGCAATGTTGGCAACAACAAAGTCGGCGACGGAGGCACGATGGTGAAGCGTGGGCTGATCAGGGCCGTTGACGTCAACATCGGCAGTATGCAGGCGCAAGGGCTATGGTCGATGGCCGTTGAAGGCAGCTCGCAAGGCAACGTCGGCGGACGTCGTCGTTCTCCCAAATGAAGTGGAGTCGGGCTGACGTCGACGACCCACTTATCGGCTGGTCGGGACGGAGAGATTGCGCTGGCATACGGCTGCTAAAAGTTTTTGCTGGACAATACCATAGTGCCAAAGTGTGGAAGGTCTGCGGAGATAACTCTAGCAACGGGAGCCTGACTACGGGGAAGGCACGGGGTAGAGGTGATTTCTGCATTTGTTCCTTTAGTCGTTTCCTTGTGCATTCACTACTTGCTAGTTCACAGGGGAAATTGACAAGAGTTTCACTAGGAAAGATTGGCAACAATGATAGCAACAACATTGGCAAGCAAGACTACATCAGAGCCAGGAAGGATGCTGGTCGACCTCCAGCGCAGCATGGTCGACCGCGATCCAGCGCAGCAGAGCTCGCACCGCTCCAGCGCAGCAGAGAAGCGGCTTGCCAATGCTGCATCAAGTCGGCTGCACACAGCGTTACACCCGCATGACACCGGTGCACCCGCTTCGCAGGTGCGTATAGCTGGTTGGTGCACCACGCCCGTCACGTGCACATCGCAGATGCCAGGCCGAAAACAGGCCAGTGACTACGCCCACCAGCCACGTCGACCTCGAGATACCACTTCCGAGGTCGCCTTCGTAGAAACCACCCAGGCGACCATCGCCCACGTCGCCCGGGAAACTCGGTCGACCGAGCAACCACCAAGTCGGCGTCGGCTTGCGTGCTCGGCGTCGACCAACTACTGTACGTGCCCGTCGACCACCCAGGTCGACGACCACTAGCCGACTTCACGAAGTCGGCGCCCCCCCCCCCTCAAGTCGGATCCACGAAGTCAGCGTTCTCCCAGGTCAACTTTGCCAGGTCGACCACCCGAACCCGGCGCCCTCCAGATCGGCACCACACCTAGGTCGGCGGTGTTGCAGTGGCCCCGTGCAGGTCGACCAAGCCTGTCGACCTGCGCGCCTAAGTCAGTGTCGCCCACTGCAGCTGGTTGGCTGTGCTCCCCGCACACCTGACTCCAAAGTCGGCTCCGCCTAAGCGAGGACGGGGCCAGCGCACAACTCCCGTTGACAAGGTCGACGTGATCTCCTGACGTGGATGGAGTCGATTGAGCCGCAGCTGGAGATCGCCGGGCTGAAGAAGTGTTGGGTGCAAATTTTTTTTTTTTGCACGTCAACCAGCCGCCTGCGTCGCATTTTGCATTTTGTGTGTGTGCGCATTTTTCATTTTCATTTTGTGAACGTTCTGTGCGCATTTGTTCTTGCGTTTTGTGTGTTTCGTTTTTATTCATAATTGCATTTTGTGCTTGAGCATTTTCAGTTTCGTTTTCACTGTTCTCATGAAGCTCCCATGAAGCACTCAAATGAGACCCTCATGATGCGCTCAAATGAGGCTCATGCGAAGTCTCAAATGAGGCCCTCATGAAACTCAAATGAGTTTTCATGAAAGTCGCATGAGAAATATTTCATACGAGGCTCATATGGGCGAGCTTCGAATGATTTATGCGAGGCTCATATGGGCGAGCTTCGAATGATTTATGCGAGGCTCATTGGAGTGCCATAAACCTCGAATGTTTCATACGAGGCTTATGCGAGTGAATGGTGTGCTAGGGGGCTCGAATGTTTGACTGGTCAAGGGGGTGCTATTTGACTGTTTCGCGCTAGTCAAAGGGTGCAAAAATCAGGACCGCGTGTGGGTCCTGATAAGCGCGTGTGGCCCCTCAGGGCTCGGGCGTGTGTCCCGTTCTGTTGCGCGTGCACTGTACTGCACGATCGCAACAAGACAGGGCCCATTACGGCCCTGTCCCGCACTGTACACGCGCATGATTTCGATCATGCGGCGCTGTACTCCCTGTTCTCGATTATTTCACACCCCTTAATCTCACACCATGGGGTATTTACCCTAGGTCAATCGTTTTCGCAGGCTAGTTCCCAGCGTTTAGGAAAACCGCTGAGGACGGTCGGACGTACTTTCGGGTTTGGTCGGGGTCCCCAAGAATATAAAAGAGACCCAGACCTAACTAAAACCTCACCCCGAACATTAAGTGCGAGAACTTTCTAGAAGCAACCAGCCCGTCGTATCTTTATAGTCCCTCAATCTCTGGGTGTCCGACGCATCAAGCCAAAGCCTGTAAAGGGTACCTACGAAAAAAAGGGTAGGGGGTGTGCAATTATCGAGAACTAGGTGTACAGCACGACCGAGAGAAAATCTCGGTCGTGCGTGTGGCACGAGGGGGTGCTCGGGATTACAGTTGAAAAACTGTATCCCGTGCTGACTCACGGGAATCAAAATTTCTCGCGAAGGTAATTCCGCCTTGCGGAATCATTTCGACACAGGTACAATTCGGTTACTCCGTTTTTCAAACGGTAAAAACCGTTATATAACTGTGAGCTCGCATGAAGACATTTGAGCTACATTGGAGTCACATGTGAGTCTCATGAGTGTACACATTTGAGTCAGCAGGGGCGATTGTTACAAGTGCAATTTGAAGACAGTTTTTAACAACAGGAGGATATAGCCAAGTGCCAAGGAGTTGTGCAACCGTTTTCAAGATACAGCGTGGCGAAATCCTGCGAGCTAGTTAAACAACTGTTTTCTAGTTGCTCCTGCCTGTGCGTAGAATCTATATAAATGTGTGCTTGTACCTGTCGAAGTCAATCCAATGCATTCGCATTTTTTCAAGCTTGAATTCTACTACTTCGTATTAACGAGAGTAGAAATATTATCTTGGTGCTGCCGAAGCTTCATCTTCTCGACCAGTTTGCTCGTCCTACAAGCTGAGCAAGGCATAACTACTCATTTGCTATAATCATGCCTTTGGCTAG